GAGGGTTAGAATTAGAGGATAAGAAAAAAGGAAGAAATAAAAGGAAAGGGAAGGAGAGAAAAGAAAGAGCGGTTTAGAATTAGAGGATAAGAAAAAGGAAGAAATAGAAGGAAAGGGAAGGAGAGAAAAAGAAAGAGCGGGTTAAATTAGAGGATAAGAAAAGGAAGAAATAAAAGGAAAGGGAAGGAGAGAAAGAAAGAGAGGGTTAGAAAATAGAGGATAAGAAAAAGGAAGAAATAAAAGGAAAGGGAAGGAGAAAAAAAAAAAGAGCGGTTTAGAAATAGAGGATAAGAAAAAGGAAGAAATAGAAGGAAAGGGAAGGAGAGAAAAGAAAGAGCGGGTTAGAATTAGGGATAAGAAAAAGAGGAAATAAAAGAAAGAAAAAAGAAAGAGGGTTAGAAATAGGAAAGAAAGAAGGAAGAAATAGAAGGAAAGGGAAGGAGAGAAAAGAAAGAGCGGTTTAGAAATAGAGGATAAGAAAAAAGGAAGAAATAGAAGGAAAGGGAAGGAGAGAAAAGAAAGAGCGGGTTAGAATTAGAGGATAAGAAAGAAGGAAGAAATAAAAGGAAAGGGAAGGAGAGAAAAGAAAGAGAGGGTTAGAAATAGAGGATAAGAAAGAAGGAAGAAATAGAAGGAAAGGGAAGGAGAGAAAAGAAAGAGCGGTTTAGGAATTAGAAAAGAAAAGAAGGAAGAAATAGAAGGAAAGGAAGGAGAGAAAAGAAAGAGCGGGTAGAATTAGAGGATAAGAAAAAAGGAAGAAATAAAAGGAAAGGGAAGGAGAAAAAAAAAAGAGCGGGTTAGAATTAGAGGATAAGAAAAAAGGAAGAAATAAAAAGAAGGAGAGAAAAGAAAGAAGGAGAAATAGAAAGAAAAAAGGAAGGTTAGAAGGAAAGGGAAGGAGAAAAGAAAAGAGAAAGAGGGTAAGGAAGAAATAAAAGGAAAGGGAAGGAGAGAAAAGAAAGAGGGGTTAGAAATAGAGGATAAGAAAAAGAAGGGGAAGGAAAAAATAAGAAATTAGAGGAAAGAAAAAGGAAGAAATAAAAGGAAAGGGAAAGAAAAAAAAGAAAGAGGGTTTAGAATTAGAGGATAAGAAAAAAGGAAGAAATAGAAGGAAAGGGAAGGAGAGAAAAGAAAGAGCGGGTTAGGGTTAAGAAAAAAGGAAGAAATAAAAGGAAAGGGAAAGAGAAAAAAAAGAAGAAATAGAAAAGGAAAGGGAAAAGAAAGAAAGAAAGAGCGGGTTAGAATTAGAGGATAAGAAAGAAGGAAGAAATAGATGGAAAGAAAAGAAAAAAAAAAAAGCGGGGTTAGAATTAGAGGATAAAAAAAAAGGAACAAATAGAAGGAAAGGGAAGGAGAAAAAGAAAGAGAGGGTTAGAAATAGAGGATAAGAAAGAAGGAAGAAAAGAAGGAAAGGGAAGGAGAGAAAAGAAAGAGCGGTTTAGAAATAGAGGATAAAAAAAAGGAAGAAATAGAAGGAAAGGGAAGGAGAAAAAGAAAGTTTTAGAGGATAAGAAAGAAGGAATAAATAAAAGGAAAAGGGAAGGAGAGAAAAGAAAGAGAAATAGATATAGAGGATAAGAAAAAAAAGGAAGAAAAATAAAAGGAAAGGAGGAGAAAAAGAAAGAGCGGTTTTAGAATTAGAGGATAAGAAAAAAAGAAGAAATTAAGGAAAGGGAAGGAGAGAAAAAAGAAAAAGAGAGAGAAAATTTGGAATTAGAGGATAAGAAAAAGAAGAAATAGAAGGAAAGGGAAGAGAGAAAAGAAAGAGCGGGTTAGAATTAGAGGATAAGAAAGAAGGAAGAAATAGAAGGAAATGGAAAGAGAGAAAAGAAAGAGCGGGTTAGAATTAGAGGATAAAAAGAAGGAACAAATAGAAGGAAAGGGAAGGAGAGAAAAGAAAGAGAGGGTTAGAAATAGAGGATAAGAAAGAAGGAAGAAATAGAAGGAAAGGGAAGGAGAGAAAAGAAAGAGGGGTTAAATTAAGAAAAAGAAGGAAGAAATTAAGGAAAGGGAAAGAGAGAAAAGAAAGAGCGGGTTAGAATTAGAGGATATGAAAGAAGGAAGAAATAGAAGGATCGTGTAAACTAAAAATCTAGAAAATCAAATGATGCATAAAACGACTTTAGTTTGACATTCGTTTTTAACAGATTTTACATCAATTTGAATTTGGTTTTTAAAGTTTATGTATCAGCAAAATTCTTCAAGAGCTGATATGCTGACCCTAATTTTAGATTTCTGCAATTTCACCATTGATTAGGTTCGATCCCGGACGAGAAAAAAACTGGCGTCCCTGCAATGAAGCTGGTCAGTTGATCCAGGGCGGACGTAGCTAAGATAACGTACTCGGCATAGTTTTGTTTGGTACAAAGCAGTAGTAGTTAGAAATCTCTGGAAGATCAAACTCATATATTGAAGCGACTTGATCGGACAGTTCCCGGGTTGGTAAGCGTCGCGCCATAGCAGACGTCTGAAGTAGATTGTGTGAACGGGTGCAGAAAAGTTTTCAACTTCACCTGAAAGAGGGGCGGAACGGTAACTTTTCAACACTACTTAAGAACAAATACACACACATACACGCACACACACACACACATCTATCTATCTATCTATCTATCTATCTATCTATCTATCTATCTATCTATCTCTCTCTATATATATATATATATATAATACAAATGTAAAAGAAAAAAAGAATAAGATTACTACGTTCAAACCATTAATTCACATGTTCTATATATATATATATATATATATATATATATATATATGTCCACTGTTTTCGCGGAAAAACAGCATAGCGTAAATGAAAAATGCCACAAACTTAAAGAAAAATAAAGTAATATCGTCAAAATGCTTATGTTATTATTAAGATGAAAGAAAAAGTATTTTTAATTATTTTTTGAAATTTTTAATATTTTCTAACACGTTCGAAATTTTGGTTAAAGTCGTCTTTGTTTACGTCATCGCGGCGACCTTTAAAATAACATTTTTTTTGTTTTTTACCGTTGAAAACATATTGATTTGGAAATTCTTGTAAAAATAAAATAATTGTCCAATCTTAATGAAATTTTCAGGACTTAATCACAAATGAATGAATTTATTTTTCGAATATTTTGTTTTTAGAAAATTTTGGTAAAAAATACTTTTTTATAAATAAGTTACCCCCCACTTAGTTAATTTCATGAAATTTCGCCCAAAACCTTTTTGGCTCCTCAATTTTATTTTTTTGTTAAAAGAAGGAGTCTTTGGAGATGCTAAATAACCTACTTTTCTTTCACAAATTTGAGCTACTTAACTGAAAATTTTGTCTGAATTGAAAAATAATGAATCCAATAAAACTATGATATTACTTAATTAGAAAAGCTTTTAATTGCTTTTGTAAATAAGTAATATTAAGGACATTATTGTCTGAAGAAATAATTTTTTCTGATGAATAATTAATTTTTCTAAGAATTTTTTTCGTTTTTTAAGAAATTTTAATTATAATAATTTATAATAGTTTAACATCGTGTAAAGCTCTGTATTAGGAGGGCTCCTCAATATTATGTAGTAATTAAGTAGAAAAAAAAAAAAAATTACGAGTCCAAAATTGCTAAGTTTAATAAATTTAGTTGAGCTACTTTTTTTAAAAATAATTTTTTATGTTGTATTTTTTTACTTAATACATTCCTTATTTCCATGTATGATATACAGAAATTGCCATTATTATAACAAGGTCACGTGATCTAAGGGTTTTGTCCCTTTACGTGGCCTTTTCAAAACATTTCGTTTCTTATGTCGTATTTTCGGTTCAAAAGTGTAAACTTTAAATTATTTTTTCTTTTTTTCATTTACTATTTCACTAAATAATTTTACTTTATGTATTGTGTGTGTCATACTCAAATAGAATAATTTTTTTAAAAACTCAGACTTAAAAATTATGTCATTTATGGTCATCAGTAGTAGTTGTCATCGGCTCGTCAATCAATCATTATCAATAAGATCGAACAGATGAACGAGACCGCTCGTTAATAATTGGTTGTATATTATTTTTTTATGCTATAAGTAACAAAGATTTCTTTGAAATCAGATTACTTTAACTTTAAATTTTTTAATTTTACTAAAATAACGTGTCAGAATTTTTTTAAATATTTTAAAAATCGATAAATTTGTGTTTGTTTACAAATTTCTTAAAATTAAGAAAATGGCCGTTTTAAAAGAAAATTTAAAAATTTGAAATTAAATTTGACAATCAAATGTATATAGTTTCTATCTGAAATACACCAGAATTGTTTAATTAATAGAAATCGTAAATTTAGTTATTAAATTTTTCAATTAAAGCTAAAATGAAATCTTCAAGAATGTTTTTTCATTGTAAAAAAAATCATTTTAAACTTAGGTATCGAAAATTTATGCCGAAATAGTGGAGGTACTTAATATATATATATATATATATATATATGAAGAAATATAGTCTTAAGGTGTGCTATATTTATGGGATAAAGTGCTCAATATCAGAGATAGAGCGTGTGTAAATACAAAAGTGAACATAGAAGTCAACACTTAGAGGCGACTTGAAGTAATAAACAAATTAAAAACTGCTCCCGCCAAAATAATAGTTAGAATAAACTACAACTATCACCCAAAAAATTGAATAAATATCTTTAAATATTTTCCTAAACCAAAACAAAACTATTAAATAAGTGATATAAACAAATTTTTACTACGTTAATAAAAACACCGATTAAAATAAAAAAAATAAATATAAAAGATAAAAAATAAAAATAAAAATAAAAATAAAAAATAAAAATAAATAAAACCAAGCAAAATAATTTAACCCAAATAAGTAAACAAATAAACGACTTCCGGTAAAATAACCACCAAAATAGACTACCCACAATGCACCACTGATCCGTATATATAAATAGCCGAGAAAAATAACAGCACTCGTCGTCTGACGATTGCGTCTAGCATTAAACAGACTGTGGCCTCTAAGTGTTGACTTCTATGTTCACTTTTATTTATAGATAGATAGATAGATAGATAGATAGATAGATAGATAGATAGATAGATGATGAACAGACTGACTTATATATATAGAGAGAGAGAGCAAGAGATAGATAGATAGATAGATAGATAGATAGATAGATAGATAGATAGATAGATAGATAGATAGATAAAGAAAAGACTGACATGTATATATATATATATATAAAAGAGAGAGAAAAAATTGACAACTGTTTATTAATGCATCTTTCAGTCATTTAGAAAGAAATATATTTTGGCATGCTTATTTGTAAGATCAACTGTTAATTCTTTTCTGTACACTCACTTGGTGAGAGGGGGGAGTTATCTTATTCTTCTGTACATAGAAAGGCCAAAGATAGTAAATGTAATCAGTGCCGAATCGATTATTGATTTCTGATCAAATGAACCATGTTCGCCTCAAGGCAATGGCCGACACTACGATGTTTTCCTTGCTGTCAAGAATTTTGCCCGTCGCTTGTCCGACACTTTCATCCGACATCCAAAAATAAACAATGATGAATTTCCTGATGGACGAAAACGGTATTTATGTGCAGACGCCACACAATCATTTTTACTTTTTCTACCTAACGTAACCGATTTATCGGACTATTTATTTAGAGTAGTTTTCCTCGACTGGGGTTTGCCGGAACCGTAGAGTTCCGTGAGAATTAGCTTGGGATTTGGCGAGAGATAATGAATAAAAAACAACATACAATGTGCTAACCAAAAGCTCGAGCAATCTGAACACTACACGCAAATCAATGTATTTGGCTGTTCGGAAAATAATGTCCGATTTTAGGCTAAAACAGTTAAATATGTTCTAATGTATGTATGATTATAATAGTTGTACAAAAATATATTACCCATTCCGAATGCTTAAAATGTCCTCTTTGTTATTTTTATATCAATCTCTTTCAGAATTTAACATAAAATATTCTATACGTTTTATTTTGAATATGAAAAAAAGAAGAGATGCGTTTACTTTTTTGGATTGAGTTCAAACTTGGTCATAATGCTTCTGAAACTGTTGCCAACATTAAGAAAGCATGGGGTGAAAGATTCACTTGTGATCGGACAGCACGGAGCTGGTTTCTGAGGTTCCACAGCAGGGATACGAGTCTTGAAGTAGTAGATGATATCTATCTACAATGTGACAATCAATACCTGAAAACACTAGTCGAACAAAACTCACGTTAAAGTGTCAAAGAAATGTCTCAGATAATGGGTTTCAGCATTTCAACAATATCAGAGCAAGGTGAAGAAACTCAGTAAATGGATTCTGCATGAACTCAGTAAAAGTCAGATTTCTAAGTTTTGAAGTCCGTTCCATGCTGCATCTTCGGAATTCGAATGATCCATTTCTTGATTGAATAGTGATTTGTGAGGAGAAATGGATCCTTTATGACAATTTTTAATGATCGACTCAATGGCTTGATTATGACAAAAGACCCAAACAATATCCAAAACCAAATTTGCACTAATGGCGACTGTGTGGTGGTCCGCCATTGCCATTATCTATTACATATGTCTTTCTGGAATTTAACAAGAGCATTACTCTCAAAATTTGCTGTCAGCAACTAGGTGAAATGCACATTCATTGAAGCAAAATGCGACCAGCACTGGTTAATCGACTAAGTTCAATTCTTCTTCATGGCAATGCTAGGCCACATGTTGTCAGCATGTCACCGCAAAAGCTCACCGACTTGGGATACGAGACTTTGCTACATCTACCCTATTCCCCTGATCTCTCGTTCACTGGCTACCACTTTTTCAAACATCTTGACATTTTTCTAAGCCAAAAGACATTTCGTTGCAAAAAACTGCATTCAAAGATGTCTTAGCATTCAAACTGTTTATCGTAAAGGTATAAATAACCTTGAAAATCAATGACAGAAATGTATAAATGTCCAGGGTTTCTATTCTGACATTCAAACACTGTTTAAATACATTCATTCAGGAATAACTTCCATAGCATAGGCGATCATGATCCCACAGATTTCTTTTCTCTGGTTTCTATGAATTGCTATACATTCATGGGAAATATGATAGAGTAATTTCTCGTTGACTTTTCCACAGCTTAAATTCAAAGTTTTCCTCTCCTTAGAATGGCATTAAAACAGTTTATTAACATTCTACCGGTGGTGATGTTGATGCACTAAATAAAACATAAAAATCTGTGCAACATAGACTCTCTACTAACTCCAGTTATAAATACATCTTTGACAAATTCAAAACCAAATATGTTGATGCAGTAAATAAAAGTAAGAACAATATTAAACTAGATAACGCCCCAAACACGAATAACAATAGTAAACGTAGGAATAAAAAAACGCAACATAATTTGGTTCAACCCACCTTTTGACAGTAATATCAGGAACAACATCGGTAGAATATTTCTTAAATTAGTACACAAACACTTTAACCATAACCTTTTTCTCAAAAAAATCTTCAACAAGAACAACATTAAAGTTAGTTGCACCTGCACTAGAAACCCTGACCAATATATAGTCCAGCATAATAGTGTAACCCTAAACAAACATTAATAACAACGGTGGCTATGAGGATCAAAAACATAATTGCCGTAAAGGGACCATCTATCCAATGAATGGCAAATGTATATATAAATGAGTTATCTATAAGGCCAGCATCAGGCATAATGACCAAATTAATTTTTATATCGGGTCAAATGCAAATAATTGGAAAAACGTTTTTATCAACACAAAATGACCATTAACAACAAAAAATATGCAAATGCTACAGAACTCTCAAAGTTTCATTGGGGTATAAAAACAGATATGCACTGCAGTAAATTGGGAATTCGTCGATAAAATCAATCCATTTTAGGCCGGGGGGACCGATGCAATCTATGTTTACTAGAAAAGAAATTCATCCTAAAAAATATTAACAATTTTAATCTACTTAATAAGTGTAATGAGCTTATGTCTAATTGTATGCATAGAAAGATGTTTCTCTGCTGCGTTCCCCGTTCAAATTTTAAATTTTATACGTGCTTCAATTTCTTTTCTTTTCTTTTTTCCTAATGACTCATATCTGCACCCCATTTTCTGCACTTAAACCCCAGTATTGCTTTTGTACTATATTTGTACTATTTTAATTTTGAACTATGAATCAGCGAACATCTGTATATTTTTTTTAAATAAAAAATAAGCTATATCTTGTGTCCGACGTGTTTGATAACCAACGAAACTTAAGTCATACACCAGATGTAGGTATATATATATATATATATATATATATATATATATTTATATATATATATATATATTGCAACGTATTAATAAACACAAGTATAAAATACCGTTAGGTTTTCAGTTTTTTAATTTAAGCGCGATCAAAAAATATTCAAATATTCTTATGACTAATTGTGCAACTCAAGTTAAACCACGGAGAATGCTAAGTACAGTACTTTAATGACTAATAAATGAAATTGAGTAAATGTTGTTATTGTTAGTGATGTGGACATTTTTATTTTCTTATTTGCTCATATTTATTTACTTTTTAATATAAATTATTATTTATCTTATTTTAATTTGATAAAATATTTATGTATTTATTTTAAATAATAGAATGTTTTGAGTTAACCATTTTCTTTTCATTTTTTTAAATTCTTTTATGATCATGTATGGCTTGGGCAAGAAGTGTATATATATATATATATATATATATATATATATATATATATATATATATATAGTCCTTACTGTTTATTTACATGCAAACTAATGTCGTCGTCTTTGTTGTTATTACAACGTTTCGGTTGTTGTGCTCTGCGACCTTCATCAGGTGATTGTCCATCCGGGTTACCTATATCTCGTCTAGTTCTGAGAACTAGATATTTCTAGACGTTATCTGCGGAACCAGAACAACCTATTCCCGTCGATTAAATAAAGGGTTCAGTTCGAAATCCCCTGGGGGTTACTAGGGTCGACAGACAATTTATAAAGGCCGAAGGAAAGAATGTGAGAGCAATGATAACTCCTCATGCCAGAAATTCAGACGGACATTATAGTTTATATCTACACTTCCTCCGTTGCAATAAGCAATTGATGATTCTAATATATATTAGAATGAAATGATTCATATTATTTTGTCAATTTAAATTTCAATATATATTATTTATATTTATGCTCCATCCTATAGAGTAAAAACAACGTTAAATTTTTCAGAGCTATCGTTTTTTGAATTACAAAGGCTGCTATTATTATTATTATTTGTGTATATTATGTATCCTGCTTTGTATCCCGTAGAGCAGGTTCCAATCTATGTCCCTTAGGCCCTCTAGGAAAATTGTCATATAATTAGTAGCACTTTTCTTAGTATATGGGATGTTCCTAGTAGGGCGATCTTCTGGGCAACTTGTATGTTGATGTTACCTGGGATACTGTTAGTAAAATTGTCCATTCCTTTTCTCACGAGACCTAGAGCTCCGATTACTCTTGGTACAGTCTCAGTTTTCATTCCCTACATCCTGTTAATTTCGATCTCTAGGTTCTTGTATTTGGACAATTTCTCGATAATTTTCATAGAGGTGTTTCTCTCAGATGGTACTGCTATGTCCGTAAGCATACACTTCCTGAATTTCTTGTCTTTTATGATAATAACAAGACTGTCGACTTTTATTTCCGTGTCAGCTTGAATTGTTCCAGAGGATAGTTACGTCGTTATTTGGGGTAAGTCTGTCTAATTGGTGCTCATATCATCTCTCAGTGGTTTCGATTTTGTGCTTCTTGCATATCTTCCAGTGCACATATGTCGCTACCTTGTTATGTCTGTGGGTATATTCATTTTTTGCTAGTTCCGGACATCCTGAGTTAATATGATCGACAGTTTCATTATATTTTCCGCAGATCCTGCATTTCAGGTTAGTTCCATCCTTGATTATGTGACAGTGATAGAATTTGGTCGGAGATTTTGGTCCTGAGCTGCAGTAATTAGGTCTCTTGTCTCAGTTTTCAATACGGTGTTCCTCAAACACTGATGTGTTTTCTGTTGGCCCACATCTGATTATTTCGTTCTTTTCAGGTATTTGCGATGCAACGCATTGTCCTCCCAGATTTTTTTTCTTGTAATTTCATCTGGCCAAGTTGTTTTGCATTATCATTATTATTATTATTATTATTATTTCCCGTTCGATCTGCTTCTTATTAATTTTCATGTGTTCGATTTTAGCCCATATGTCAATTGACTATCGCTTTGTTCATTTTTTTTTTAATCCGTTTTTCGCCTTTATTCTTTCTACCTGTGTCCTTCGCTCATCTTCAACGTTCAATTCACTTCTTCTTGTGTCTGACATTTTATCGAAATCTGTCAGCGGCAGAAACGCGTTGCGTCATGGCCGACAAGTTGTATTTGCAGCTCCAATTAAAGTCTCTTATTTTATGGCTGTCATCTGCTGGTGTTCAATTTCCACCCCTCCTTCACCGCCCCCTCCTCTTTCACTTCGAGTAGGTTCCATTAAAAAAAAAAGTAATAATAATAATAATAAAATAATTTGGCAGATACCAATGGATTAATTAACTTACCCTTAAACGCTGGCTGAAATAGGAAACAAAAAAATATTGTCAAGGTATAGATTTCTTCTTAGAAATATATATATATATATATATATATATATATATATATATATATATATATTTTTTCTTAGAAATATATATATATATATGTGTGTGTGTGTGTGTGTGTGTGTAGGCTAAAAATGTGCTTTTTAGGCATACACTTAACGAACATCTATAATCAATTCGATCACGGAAAGTCAAAAACAAAAATGTCATTAAAAATGCACTGGTTAAATTTAACCTGTTATCAAGTTAAAAATGTTTGTCTTAAACTTTTAACTTTTGAAAGCTAGTCATTAAATGACTTTATTTATGTTACTTTACGTTGATGCAAAAGTTCCCAGCGAGATCTATTGCACAATGTTTAGGAAATCTTAGAACTGTCTTTCAACGTTACTCAGCTTGTTATTGCTTATTAGGTCAACTTTTAGTTTACAAGCCTTAGGAAAAACTCTAAATGTTCTGCATGAAGTTATTAAAAAAAAAATAATCGAACTGCATTCGAAAACTCATCTTTATTTCTTGATTCAACACAGAAAAAAAGGTATAGCTGCTAGTAATAAAAAAATAATTTAGTAAGAGAATTCAAAAATTAAGATAATCGTGCTAGGTCGAAGACAGCCTTTAACGCCTCAATCTAAACAGAATCCAAAGTATTTGATTGGATTCTGGAATCTGGATAAACTGATACTAGGCATTGATATAGTGAGCAACATGCTCGTTTGAATGACACATTAGAAGAAAAATGATCGATATTTTTTTTCTAGGCAATGAAATCGGGGGATGATAATGCCCGTTCTCACGTTGTGGGACAAGGATGGGGACTTTTTTTTCCAAACAACAACGTAGATTTCAGGTCGATGACTACAGACTAGTTTGGTTAGCATCTAGCAGACTAGTTTGGTTAGTTAAATGTATGTCTTAGTATAATTTTAGTAGGAACTCATAGCCTATCAGAGAAAATATTTTTTTATGACAGAACAATATTACTATAAATTTATAATCAAAATTATAAATAAATAAAAAAAGTTTTCCATTTATTATTTTTTTTTTAAATATTACTTTTTGAAGCTATTTTACAATTTCAAAAGACAAGGAATATTTTCCTGTCTGAATTTCTTGGATGAGGGGTATCGCTATTTACGCTATTTACATGGCGACTATTGTCCCCATCTTTGTTGTTATTATCACAACGTTTCGGTCATTGTACCCTCCGGCCTTCATCAGATGTATATTGATCCGCTACAGGAAATTTCGAACCTTAGATTAAATAAAGGGTTCAGTTCGAAATTCCCTGAAGGTTACCCGAATCAACATACACCAGACGAAGGGTGGAAGGTACAATGCAAAAGATACTGAAAAAGCGGTCGACTCCTTGGATCAGTTCAGAAAGAATTTATCCTTCATCCTACAACCACTTTCCTACAGACTAAACGTCGCAAGACTCTCGTTACCCTCTCGCTATTTCCACAGATGATTTTCTGACGAGCTACAATCCCTAGTTCCACCAGACTTAGTTCAGACCTTTACTACTACGACCCGCTATGACACGTACACAGGGCCGAATCATCCTGATTCCCTTCGTATTCCACAGTTGAAAAAAATTCCCATTCAGATAGCTTTTTCCAAGAGCCAATCCTTTATGGAACAGACTCCCTAGAGGATACTTCCTAAACACTACAATCTTAACCTCTTATCTATCTTCAAAATCTGTACTTCTTACCTTTTCCTCTTAAGTCCATAAAAAAGTTTATTTAGTCACCCTCTTCATTGAGTGGCTCTTGGGACTTGTATTGAGTGAACAATAGTATAAAAACCATACTTTGTCCATGTTTGCTATATGTAAGTGACTGATTTTAGGACAGGATATATTTTATACCTATTGAAAATCTAAATTTGATATTATTTCTGAAATCCTGGATGGATGCGCAGATAGTGTAATAATGTCTCGGTGTAAGAAATCGGAGATCCCAGTTCGAATTCCTGTTGAGTTCATTACATTCACTTACGCGCCAACACACCTGAGAAAGGTATGAATTATATAGGAATAAAGTGTCACTGCCGACACTTGAGTTTGAACATAGACCGCCAGTGAGCAAACACAGGCGATCCCATTATTGAATTAAGTAGACCACGTGACCATAGAGGAAATGCATATATGTAGGAAGTAGCTGACGACTAACGATCGCTATTTCTAGCCTATCCTCTATTGCTATACGGATCGTCATTTCTAGTCTATCCTCTATTACTATACAGACCGCTATTCTCTACTCTATTCACTATACTATTTCTCTATTCGGATCACTATACGGATTACTATTCGAGCGAGTATTATCGAACTAGTACTATTAGTGCCAATGCTATTCGAAGACGTCTAACACCAGTATTGTTCAACAGCATTACTATAGTTGTATCTGCGATTACAAAGTCTCTACTACAACGAGCATTACGAAAGTGACGACGAGTATTCGTTGACATCCCACAAATGGCAACGAGTGTTCGTTGACATCATAAAAGTATGAATCCCTTTCCTCATCCCAGCTATGGATTAAATATTAAGATTTATATCTGGAAAGATCATCGTTATTCTAAAAAAGTGTTAATGCAATATTCACTCGTAAAAACTAAACTATTATTTTTACAATCCAAAGTAGTTCCAGTTGTAAATAGCCCACAAAGTGTTGACAAACCGTAAAAAAATAATCAATAGGAAATCTTATAAATTTAAAATGAAGCCTAATACCAGTGTTTTAGTTAGGCCGCTTTTGAGTTGATTCATGAAATTTAGGGAGTAAAATTCGCGAAGCTCAATAATTATTTCAATCGTTGAATGAGATTTGTTCTTGCAATTCCTCAATATGCTTCAAAAGGTACCAATTAATAAACAGAGTTAAAAGAATTTTTTTTTCGCGATTATCTTCAAAGAAATAGCCAGAGAGCGAGAAAAACGTCTATTGTTCTTTCATGAGAGCAATAGAAACAAAAAACATATTATCTAGATAGCACTTAGAGGTGTGAACGACGCGATAAAATGTCTGACTTATAAAACAATTAGCTCAAATGGACATCGATGTACTTACGATTTACTAGACTTAGGTGTTAACACAGATAAGCAAGCATATCTACGTTATAGATAGATAGATAGATAGATAGATAGATAGATAGATAGATATGAACAGACTGAGATAGATAGATAGATAGATAGATAGATAGATAGATAGATAGATAGATTAAGAGGTAACTGGGCTAATAGAATTTGGAGACCCTTCATTACATATATTCGTGCCCCACCACCGAGTCTATAAAAAAGATATATTTTTTATATGAAGCTACATCAAAATATGTATATAAAAAGATGCATCAGAATCTAAACGAGGACATTTCAGTTGGCTTCATCGAATTTAAAAGACCCACCCCAACTAAAGGAGAACAAATCTAAATTATTTCAAAGTGTACATATATATTTATTAAATCTGAAAATAAATGCCCGCTGTTCTCATATCTTTATTTATTTAAATTATTTATTTATTTTTAGTTTTATCAGGGCTCAAGACTAATGTTTGAGCCCATCCCAGTCTATAAGTAAATCCGGTATTATATATATATATATATATATATATATATATATATATATATATATATATATTGAAATAATTAATAAAATATGAAGTTTGCACTTAGCTGATCGGTGTTGCCTTCAGAATCCCGAATCAAGAATTTCGTAGACGGACTCCCCAGCAATCACCCGTTCACTCGTACGCGGGTATTGACTGATTATATTCCTCGTTTTATATATATATATATAGAGAGAGAGAGAGGTGGGAATGAGATGAGAATGAGAGAGATAAAAAGAGAGAGTGAAAGGGACAGAGACAGAGAGAGAGAGGCATAGTAGCTTAGCTATACGAAATAGAGACTTTGGAACCATTCGACGGAAATAAAAAAATACATTGCACCAATGAAAAGTTCATATAGATATATATATATATAGATATATATATATATATATATATATATATATATATATATATATATATACCTTGCACCAATGAAAAGTTCATATATAAATATATATCATTTTCATGATATATATATATATATATATATATATATATATATATATATATACCTTGCACCAAATGAAAAGTTCATATATAAATATATATCATTTTCATGATATATATATATATATATATATATATATATATATATATACTTGCACCAATGAAAAGTTCTATATATAAATATATATCATTTTCATGATATATATATATATATATATATATATATATATATATATATATATCGCTCGCTCGACTCTCCCGTCGAATTCGACGTATGAGGGTCAAGGAGCACAGTTCCCAGGAAACCGACAGACCGACAACAGCACATGAGATTTGATTAGAGGGTGAAAGTTTCGTGCAGGACCATTCACACTTTTTGAAGGGCCGAATACAGAGAGCTGGTGCAGTACGTGCCACAAGGTCCCCAAACGACCTTCCCGTAATATATATATATATATATATATATATATATATATATATATATATATATATATATATATAGATATATTCACAGTCAAGCAGAGTTCACTTACCCTATTTAAAAAATTGCCAATCTCTTGTTCAGACCTTTCAAAATACACATGTGCTAATTTCTTATTTTCGCATCCGAAACCTAAACAAAGAAATTTCTAAGGAATTAATGATTTTTTTTATATTCCAACATTATTTTTTTATTACGTTAAGCGTTATAAAAAAACAGTGTTTGAGTAGATATCCTCATCCCCATTTTTTAAACAATGTAAATATGCCTACCGATCTTCGAGAGCCTCAATATATATACATATATAAAGAGAGAGAGGGGGGATGCAGAGAGATAGGAAGATATAGAAAGAGAGAGGGGGTATAGATTAAGAAAGAGAGAGAAGCGAGAGGAGAGACGGAAAGGTAAAAAGAGAGAGAAGAAGAGAGATAAAGAGAGAGGTGGGAAAGTAAGAGAGAAAAAAGAGGGAGTGAAAGCGAAAGAGATAAAGAGAAAGAAAGGGGAAGAGAGAGAATTGGAAAAATTGGTAGAATGTATAAATAAAAGAAGAGGTGATATAAATACAGTGAAACTTGTGAATGATTCTGAATAAATGAAAGAAAATTGGAAACTCACCACAAGATGGCGCCATCATCAAAGCTGGTCTCGTCTCTCTTTGGCCGGCGTAAACCGTTCCGACATTTTTTTCGCTTCAGGTGGGATAATAGCGAGGCGAAGCTGTAGGGAAAGGCGTGTGTGGCGGTTGAATACTTTGTGTCAAAAAATGTGATAGACTGCCATGGAGACAGACGCCAGGAAAAGCGATCGAACGTTCGCAGAAAATAACAAAGAACAAAAATGGTAACAACAACAAAGAAGACCTACAGATGAAAAACAAAAGAGAGCATTTTTAATATAAAGAAACGGGATAGGGTGGGTGTTTAAAGATATCCGAAATAGGCAGAAATAGCAAAATCTGCTAGGCTGGAAGCCTTCACTATAAAACATTTCGCATCTCAGTTATCTTTCATCTCCAAGTATTTTTCTTAGTTCTTCTGCCCCAACAACAATCTAGGAGTCCAGTAGACATGAGCAAAAAAACCCGGTGAAGCAGCTCAGAATAACCCCCGCTGTCAGAATATACCCGGAGGTATGGCTGGGGCTCGTCTACTTTCTACCTGGGTTGTGTAAATATTCAGCACGACCCTCGAAAGTCCCCTGACCGGCCAATGATTGCCCTCCGTTGCATTCTGATTCTATATCTCGCCGGTGTCCGGGTGGGTAAGTGGATGTTACTTGGGAAAACTTTTACTCTATCACTCTTCCCGCTACCAAATCCTCACCCTCTAATAGAGGGGGAAGAAGGTGAGGTATAAAGAGAGAGAGAGAGAGAGAGAGGCATAGCAGCTTGGCTATACGAAATAGAGACTTCAGAACCATTCGACGGATTGTCCTACGTTGCATTCTGATTCTAGGTCTCGCCGGTGTCCGGGTGGGTAAGTGGATGATACTTGGGAAAACTTTTACTCTATCACTCTTCCTGCTACCAAATCCTCACCCTCTAATAGAGGGGGGAGAAGGTGAGGTAAAGAGAGAGGAGGAGAAAGACAGAGAGAGAGGTGGGGGTGAGAGAGATACAAAGAGAGAGTGAAAGGGAAAGAGAGAGAGAGAGAGGCATAGCAGTTTGGTGATACGAAATAGAGACTTCGGAAATGTCCGTCTGCCGTTAAGGGAGTTACCAGAACTCTCCCTGATTCCAAGCATGACAGTTATCATAGAGCAGGACACGGATAAAACGATTTCCGGTTTTGTTGCCACTTGATCTCCAATAGTGTCCTCTATGGATACGATAACATGCATCTTATTTATGTGAAAAGAAGGTCGTATATTCTGGATTAGGTGGGTATATTGTAACCTAAGCCGTTTTATACCAGAGTATAAAATATCTCCGTGTATAATATGGGTGGTGGGTATACTTTGGGCTGTAACACTTTATTATCTTTGACAATTGTTTTTGTTTTTTGTTTATATTAAAATAAATGTACAGGAGTTCGCAGGGTATAGAAAACTGCTTCGTCTCTCATAATTCGCCTTCAGGAAGAATTTGAACTGCCTCCTCTGTACATTTTTTACGGCTTATCAACTTATTGCAGCTTATTTAAGCCCCAAAAATATCTCTTAGATTGTAAAAATATTTTAGAGATAGTAATGAATTACTGATAGAAGTCCTACAAATTCACCCATAGCTGGGGAAGAAGAGGTGGATTCATACCTTTCCCAAGGGTATTTGCGCGTAAGTGAATGCAACGAACTCAAGTAAAATTGGAACGTGGTTCTCCGATTTCTCATTCCAAGTCGTTAGCCACTACACCACCCGCACGCCCATTCTTAAAAGGTCACTCATCTAGGTAATGACTAGACTCGAATCGTACGAGAACCAGCGTTTCAACGTGATATGACCGTAAACCGCCTTCTCTATACAATCAACACGAGAATATCTCTCTCCCTCTCTCTCTATATATATATATATATATATATATATATATATATATATATATATATATATATATATATATTGACACACATTGTCATTCCTGTTTTATGAAAATAGATTTACTCAGCTAAAATTGTTCTAGCACATGATAGCATAGGTCAGAGTAGGTTTTATGCAAATTTTCCAAATCAGCATTCAATATTTTGGTCATTTATATGAGCCGAAAAAAAAAAAATTGACAAACAAATGGCCCCATTGCGATTAAATATTTGGGAGGACCTTCACACCAAAGACAGCAACACAACATCAATAAGAATTTGTCTTGCTCTCGGCGAGCAAGTGTTACAGTTACTGTTCAACATTATGGGTATTTTAGTACGCTAATATATATATATATATATATATATATATATATATATATATATATATAGTGTTATGATTTGCCTATCTCTCTCTGCGTAGTAGTAGTCGTAGTACAGTTCTCCGTGTCCTGAATAGCAACTGGATTTGCTAGTCATAGCTTTATGTTCGCCATTGTTCTCCATTTATACTTGTCTATCTAATTTGTATACCATACTATATATATATATATATATATATATATATATATATATATATATATATATATATATATATATAGTATTATGTTTTGCCTATGTCTCTGCATATTAGTAGTCGTAGTACAGTTCTCATGTCCTGAATAGCAAACGGATTTGCTAGTCATAGCTTTATGTTCGCCATTGTTCTCCATTTATAATTGTTCATCTAATTTTTATACCATATATATATATATATATATATATATATATATATATATATATATATATATATATATATATATATATATAAGCCAAAAAGTTAGTTACAGCACTAACTGATAATTAAATCTTACGAAACGTGTTCTGGGTGAAATTTAAAACGTAATTTATTTCGAAATGAAAATGTGATTTCTTTTACCAAATTCCATTCTAGCAGGAATTATAAATCCTCATTCATTCAAGGACACTTAGTAAATAGCGACGTAATTATTTTAAGATAAATTTAGTGTTTTCCGTTTTCCTTTCTTTTAATTCGTCCTTCGAGTGCGTCTGGAATGATTTGTTTTGAAATAACCTAATAACAGTATTTCCTGTTAAGAAGAATATTTCATTCCTTGTCGATAGATGACAACAAAGATTACCTTAACCTAAACTTCAACCCTGAAGTCTGAAATGTCAACAAAAGTATCGAGGTACATTAGAATTAGAGTTATCGCTCTTGTCATCGGTATATGCATTCGGCTGTTTAAGATGTCCGTGTTCTGAGTTGCTGCATTCTTTAACGAAAGCGGAAGTCATTTACCTTTAAAGCACGTACACACGGATATTTCAAAATCATCCATTTTAGTGTGCTTAAAATTTAAATTCGAACGCAGATAAAAATATATATATATATATATAAAGCATGACGTCAAAGAAAGATGTCTGATTCGAAGATTTCTTGTAAGATTTCAAATCCGATTATTAGTTTAACGCTTGAGGACCTCGAGGCGGTGTAGTGGTTAGTAAGCTTGTCTCGCTAGAACAATTACGACTGAGTAGTGAGTTCGATCCTCACTGGGTGCCTCCTAGTTTCGTCCTTGTGCCACATCTAAGCTACTCTTGGAAAAACAGTTTTAAGCTTTCGGATATAGTAGTACACACAAAGAAGAAAAAGTCGGTTTCAAATCAGACTGGTTCCCCAAACAAGAAGAATGACTATTTTCAAGAGAATGGTTGGTCGATGTTTTAAAAAATTCTAAGCTTCTTTGAAAAGAAATAAAAAGACTATTCTATAAAATATTTGGACCGGAATCATCTCCATTCTTTCAATTACCATAATCAGTCATCTTGTACATCGCATCAAATAATCCTCAAAGAACAGAACCCTTTGTAGAGATGCAAGGGTGATTATCTCCATTTGAGTATGATTAATTCTTGAGGGTCATATGAGCAACGTCCGCTTGTGGGGTGATGAACCCCAGTTGCTATGTAGACAGCGAGAAAAATAGACGTCATTAGCCTGCAGAGGTAAAGGGAACAAATCGAAATCACGTTGTCCCACCACGGAACCTATAGGGAACACATAGTCGTTTTCACTTTACAACCTCTCGAGTTTCGCCCGTTCACACTGTCTGTTGTGAAAGACTCTTCTTACTGCCCATCAGCATGGCTGATGCTAACCTTCATAAGAATGACTTTTCGTGCCTTCTCGGGCAAACATTTTTGGGTGACATGAAATGGAAATATTATATTGAATCCATTACTAGGTCTGCAGCTAAGAAAGTTGGTTCACCATTTTTCTCTCCTGAGTTTGTCTTACATATTTATAAATCTAACATTTGTCTATACATTGAATATTGCTGGCACATATGGCCCGATGATACTGCTGTATATTTAGAGATTCTGGATAAAATCCAAAGAAGGATCAGTAATATTATTGGTACTTACCTGGCATCTCAGCTTCAGCCACTTTCCCACTGCTGTAATGTAGCTTCCCTCTACTTTTTCTATTAACACTTTCATGTTAATTGTTTAGGTGAACCCTTTGCTATGGTATCTAGACTTTATAAATTTAAGCTCAATTGGCGGCTAGGTCTCATCAATTCACGGTTGAATTGGCTAGATGTAACCTATGCTAACATTTTCTTCTATCGTACTTCTCGCTTTTAGAACTCTGTTCCGGTTCCATGCTTTCGGCCAACTTTGATATTCAAAACTTTAAATGCAATGTCAATCGTTATCTATTGTCTTCATGATTACTCATCTATTGTTCTCACTCCTTAATGATGTTTCTTTTCTTTCTTATTCTCTCATACTCAGTAACCCCTTGTGTCTTAGTGGCTTTACTGCCTTGCGTGGAGTGATATGATTAATATGATTAAAAAATTCATATGTATTATAGTTTCTCTGTGTGACTCAAGTAAGTGACAGGTATATAATCTTTGTATATCATTTTTTTTGTACGACATAGCGGTATATAAAATCTCTTTGGGCATAATGCATATATGTCATTCCTTTTTTTTTCAACTATTACTTAAAACATTGGACGTCATGCACTAATAGGTTAGATAATTATATCATCCTAGCTTGGAAGGAATTAATTAAAACAAAGAAGGCATGAAACTTACTAAATATTAAATCCAAAAGCTGACCCCAAATATTGGCGTATAGTGTATTTTTTTAATATAAAGAAAAAAACAATAAAAAAAGAGGAACTGAGTTCGATATTAAATAAACCAGCAAAGACCAAAATGTTGTTAAATGTAAAAACCTAATAATTAAAGTTTTGTTGTGGGTAAACAAAAGTTGAATCCTGTATTGATATATATATCTATCTATAAAAGACAGGATGTGTGTGTGTGTGTGTGTGTGTGTGTGTGTGTGTGTGTGTGTGTGTGTGTGTGTGTGTGTGTGTGTGCCGAATGCACGGCCGCAATTTTTGACGGATTTGCACCAAAATTTACATGCACATGCTCCAAGTTAGTGGGAAGGCCAAGACCGACTTTGCATTTCCCAACTCCCATCGATAGTGGAAATAATCGATTTTTTCATGCTTCTACGGCAGTTTTCATGTAGTTTGCGGCCATTTTCTACTGGCCAGAGTGAGAGCCTATAGCTGGCTGCCACGAATAGGCAGGAAGATTCTATTGGCCAGCGTGAGAGCCAAAAGCTGACTGACACGAGTATTAACTAGCATGCTAGCATGCAAAAAAAATCGATACCTGAAATCGTCACAAGTGGGAAAAATTTAAATCTGCATGGCACTTTACTCCAATTGGCTCATTTGCTTGCTTAAACTCAACATTGATTCTGATTCCGCAGAACTGGGTTGCGTGTGAAAAAGTATTTGTTGTTAACATTCTTTTTTCATTCTGTTTTTCCAGTTACGAGTCCTTTTTTAAAGCTGATCGTTTTGTGTTCATTTTGTTTAGTTCTTTTTTCGTAACAGA